GGTGTGGGATATAAAATATCGTAGATCAGCTTATGTTTCAAACTTTTGATATGTTGTATATCAGTTCTACATAAATGTGGCTTATGAATGAAAAAAGAGTAAATGGCACATGTCAGAAAAATACTTAAAGCTGCCTAGAGGTCTATCTGAAAATCTTTCATTTTGGAACATCTGTCCTCTGGCTTCTTATATCAAAGACAAATTAGCATGCTTTATATGGTTTAGGTTTTAGAACAGCAGTGTTTAAGCATTCTTGTGTTGAGATTTGAGAAAATATTTTCTGGCAGATCGAGTGAATATTTAGCATTTGAATGGATAAAGAGTATTTGAACAAGAGGGTATAGATGGCCTTCTGGTTCAGGTAACTGTATCTGTTATAAGCAGACAACTTGAGGCTGTGGTGAACATTGCTCTTATTAAGAAATAAGCTTACGACTTGAGGCTGTGGTGAACATTGCTCTTACTAAGAAATAAGCTTACACAATCTAGTGGCTACCATTTTCTATTACCATTTTCTATTACCATTTATAATGAATTGGCTTCTTTGATTCATGAAAGGTTTAAGTTCCTATATATGATATATTTCAGATTGATGAAGATCTAACAGCTAGAGTCAATATGGCTGATTATGTTTTCTCTTTTCATGAAAAAGGAAAATGTTATTCACCTGCATGGATGGCACCTGAAGGTAAGAATATTCACATACTTGTCAATCTTAACCAGAATTAATTTAACACACTTTAATATCAACAAATTATTTTAATTTTCTATGGTATGTAGTTTTTTTGTGCAACTACACAAGATGTTATTATCACCTGTTATTAAGGAAGATCCATATGTAAGTTCAACCTCTTGTTTCCATTAAACGTTCCTACTTGCACAGATATGTATTTGACTTTCTGAAATTTTCATGGTCTTAGGATATTACTGTTGATTGGCTCTGCAGATATAATTTCATTCTTTTAAAAGTTTATTTTCAACCAACATTCCAGCCCTGCAGAAGACAGGAGAAGATTTGAACCAGAGAGCAGCTGATATGTGGAGTTTTGCTATTTTATTATGGGAGTTAGAAACAAGGGAAGTTCCCTTTGCTGACTTGTCACCTATGGAAATAGGCATGAAGGTAAGCTACATTCTTCTTCCCTTTTGAAACTGTATATTCACTTCTTAGATATGGAGATTTCATCAAGGATTGTTTTTGTTTATAACTGATCAGCAAGACTTTGTAAAATATTTTGACAATTTTATAAACACCTATCTCCTCTCCCATTTTTATGTCAATGCCAATCATATAATAGTATTGAATAAAAGTCAGGTAAATTTCGGTTCCTTCCTTTGTGGACCCATTGCTTGATGTATCTGTGAATTTGCTCTTTATGTATTTTAGATTGCTCTGGAGGGATTACGTATCAAGATTCCACCAGGTATTTCAAGTCATATGTCACGATTAATCAAGATCTGCATGAATGAAGAACCAGGCAAACGACCTAGATTTGATATGGTTATACCAATCTTAGATAAGATGAAGACTTCAGGATAAACTTTAAACTACTGTTTCAATGCTTCCATTGTATAAAAACTCTAGTATGCATCTGATAATCTGTATGGTTGCACATAATTATAATATTTCTTGACTCTTAATTTCAAATGTGCTTTTGAACATACCGCTATCATGAAGTTAGCTTCAGTTATTATTTATTCTTCCAGAAGAGAATAGTAGACTCTTCTGGTTTATGTTGATTGTGTACAGTCTGCTTGTAGTAGAAAAGGTTAGAAGAATAGGTGGAGAAAGATAGGCTACTCTATTGTCTTAATATTTTGAATATATTAGCTGTTACACCAAAGCATACAGATCCCTGAATTATTTAAGTTTAAAGATGGATCCATGTCTGTATATTGAATTGAGCCTCCGTGCTTTTAAAGTAAATATTTCTTTAACATGGACCAGAATCTGTATGAAATAAAAAAAAACCATAATGGTAGTGTACTGTTAACTGTCATTTGATCTGAAATCATGAGATTGATAATATAGCATAATAGATATGAATATAGGTTCTCTGTTATGCCAATTAGCTCATCACCATGGTAGTGGGAACACCTGATTCTAGTGGTTAATTATTATTAACCTTCATTTAATAACAGAATATAAAGGACATGTAATATCTCAAGGAAGTGTAGTTTAACACCCTACTGATGATGAGAATTTATTGTTTCAAAGTGGTGGACCCCTGACTTGGGTGTTCCATTTCCATGTTCTATTAGATTTAGAATGTGTATATAGCTTTTAATTAGTTGCTTTTAGAATTTAGTCCAAAACCTGGGGAATCTTAACTTCTTGCTGTGAACTGTAAAAAATAGTTTTTGGTAGGATTCAGCAAGCTTTAGACAAAAATTCACTATGCCAAAGTTTTGATATTATTTTCTATGATTATGTATTTCTAGCTAGAAGATATTTAAAATTTAATAACACAAGCTATATAATAGTATATTAGGCCTATGATTGATATTAACTGTTTCTGACAGATGTGTTAAAAGGTTATGAATAGACTGAGGCCTACAATGATTTGAATAAGAAATCATTTATTATGTACCTAATATATACTTGAATAAATCTTATTTCTTTATTTATTTCTTAATAGGTGCCTTAATCAAGCTATTGCTGTTTTGTTATTTAGAATTCACATGAAGCCATTATTTAAAAAGTTTCTGTCCATTTCTTAATCATAGCAATAAATTACCACAACCTGCCTTCAGTCTTTCTTTATATTGCAGCATTTGCCTTTTAGACAATTTTTATTCTTTTTCATATTCACTTCTTTCCTATAAATTCTGCATTTTACTCTTGAAAAATGTCATTATTACATACTCATTGTCATTTAAATTTTAATAAAATATTTTCTGTTGACTTTAAGAGTGTTTTAAGGCTTGTTAGGTCTACATAGACAAATTTAAACAAACAAGAGTTACTTATTATACATTGGAACAACAGTTGACCAAAGATTTTATGTACATTTGAGTGTAGCTCAAGACAAGCTAACTTTATTTTCCGGTAATGTTAGTTTTACAGAGGGAGAATATTCCAGCTTCATACAGACTCAAATTGTGAATTGTTTTGAGTTGTACCTGAATGTGTACAGATATATTTGACTATATAATATGGTGTCTTTTATATGATATACTTATATCAAATTATTTGAGAAAGTGCTAGATGATATTGTATTAAAATTGACCTATTTATTTTCTGATTTTTATTTTTTAATGATTTGTTTTGCAGTAAATAGTCTGGGTTAGTGTCAGTTTGGTGGCAAAAACTCCAAGGCAGTGGAAAAACATGATTTGGAGAGACAACTTATACCAATGTGCCCTTACAAAGACTTCGGTCGTTTGAAAACATCCCTAAATACATCTTTTGAGGAATTGTAAAGATGTAATTTGTTCTTTTTTATTTGGAATAGCAAATTCTCTTTAACTGGTGCGGAAGCTTTTTTGCACTCCAATCCACAAGAAATTTTGTTTTTAACTCCAGTCAAAGGGTCATTGTCACTGAATTGTCACATTATATCTAGTTTGTCTAGGTTAGTTGTATATCAGCTGTAAAAATAGAATAAGATTTTGAGTTTTGTAGTACCATAGTCATTCTGCTGCTTTTTTTACCCTTAAAAATATAAGTTATAGACATTTGATAGTCATCTGAGTTCTTGTGAACACCTCTGAGCAGTGAGTCCCTGTTTACTTTTATATGTAAGTATGACATTTTAGATCATATTTGGGGTTAAATTCTATCTAAATTTTTCAAATTACCATTTATTCCAATAGACGACTGCCATTTTGACAGTTTGATAACTTTAATACACTTCAATGTTTCAATTATTCATGCTTGTTATTGAATTTTTAACTTGTTAGCCTTTATGTAGACTTTAATTATATAATATATATAATAAACTTGTTTTGTATAATTGTTGTCTCTTGTTAATTGAATGTCCGAATGCTACTAAGACACTATAATAATTACAATCTACACTTATTTAGGGGTGGGCCATGATATATTTTACTTTTATGATAATGAATTAATGATACTTTGAGGAACATAATTAAGGTTATGATTATGTTTTTGTGACAATCAAAAATTTTGACGAATGTGATATTGTGACGAGTAGGCCCTTTGCTAATGAAAGTGACAATGATAATATTGTGAAGGTTATAATAAATGTACTTTAATAAGTGATCTAACTGGTACTGTGACGACAATGCTAATGCTAATGTGATGATGTCAAAATTATGCAACTGTGGCAATTGAAAAAATGTGACAATCGTGATACTGTGACGATAATGCTATTATGACGAATGAGAAACTGTGACAATTTGATACTGTGACGTTATGCAATCGTGACGAATAAAAACTGACCATTTGAATGATTCTATGACGTTATGCTATCGTAAGGATAGACAGTGAAAATTTGAAACTATGATGTTATGCTATTGTGACAATTGAAAAACTGTTACAGTCTGATGCTGTGACGTACTGCTATCATGATAATTGAGAAACTGTGACAATTTGACTTGTGACTTTATGCTATCATGACGTATGAGAAACTGTAATAATTAAATACTGCTTGCAACGCTATGCTTTCGAGAAATAGATAATGTTTGAGTGATTCATACTGTGACTGTGACCATACTCTAGTCATTATGGTCCTGTGTCAATTGATGTTACTCTGAAGATACAATACTTGGGCAACTATGCACAGTGTCGACCATGATATTGTGATCATTTTGCTATCATGACGACTATGATACAGGTGTTACAGGTGACTATGAAACAGCGACGAGTATAATACTGTAGCGATTGCAGTAGCGATTACATATAGAAACCTTTCATATATTTTTGCAAAAATATGAATAATATGGTTAAATCCTTTGACAGGACAAATATCTTATCAAACTTCGACACAAATAGATACAAATATAACAAAAAAAGGTACACAAGGTACTTTTTACATAATGAAAACCATGACAACATTTATTCGATTCCATGACGCGATTACCACAAATGGTTAACAATATAAAATGTAAAAATAAATGTCTATAAAATGTAATGTTTTGACCAGGTCTATTTAATTAAAGTCCTATTTGATTAAACCCCGTATGCCTGCTATATGTACCAGTCTGTCTTATATAGTTGAATAAAGTCTTTAATACTTTCCTTACCAGTCAATAGAGCTCAGTTTCAACTACCCGAAGCAGGTTCGGAATGGAATCGATCGTAAACCATGCGTCAGATCCAACCTTTTTTTTTTTTTTAGAAAATATACTGATAAATTCAATAAAACGAGAAACTGGCTGAATACTGTTCGTTACTTTTGTTCTGCATCGAAATATACCTTTGCATCGTTTCTAAGTTTAAATAGATTCTTTGGACGAGGCTCGTGGTCGGGCTGGTCCTCTTTCGGTATCAGCATCGGTTGTAGATTTTCTTGTTTTAGGAATTGGTTTCATCATTACTTCTCTTTCTGGACCAATACTCTCTCTACAGAAGAAGAATCATACAACCTTATTCATATAAATGTGAACATGATAGCTTAATCACAATTATCAAAATGATAATAATCTTCATAAAAACTTAAATTAGCCCCATGATACTAATCATGACAAGCAAATACTATTATTCAAACTAATGTTAACCTTTGATATTGGCACAATATCACGATAACGCAAGCCAATGGTACTAGCTAAGCCACGATAATGCAACCTAATAGTACTGTTTAATCACGATAGCTCTAGTCAATGATATTGGCTTAGCCATCATGACACAAGCCAATGATGACAATTGGTATTGATATTGACTTCGTAACGGTGGCAGTGGTCAATACTGGCACAGTCTCGATGGCACTAACCATTGATACTGGCACAGTCACGATGGCACTAACCATTGATACTGGCATAGTCACCATGGCACTAACCATTGATACTGGCATTGATACTGGCATAGTCACCATGGCACTAACCATTGATACTGGCATAGTCACCATGGTAACAATCGCATATGCCAATATTCTTGGCATAATGTTATATTATGGTATTGGCCAGCTGAGGCAAAATATATAATAATGATACTGGTTTTTAATTAGATAGAAATCCTGATACCTTCGGAACAAAGACGTTCATAATTTGTTTGCTGAAACTTTATTTCATCACACGCACATTTTAATTATACAAACTAGGCGAAAACAAAACGTGTATTTCGAGATAAAAAGGTATTATCATATTAAATTGTTGGGCCGAGTTATTAAACAAGCTAAAGCAAATGTAAGTAATTAATAAGATTGTCCTGATTAACAGGACTTGGTAAACACAAACCACCTTACCAAAATAAGATTGTCAGGTGGTAAAAATTCACGCATCTCGACCATCTGCAATCTAGATATATATAGCCTTCTGTTTAATTCAGGCATTATTACATATAAGTAACGACATAGCGCCATTGATCGACATCTCCGATCATTACAAGAGCTCGTGTTATGATGTCAATCTTTTTTTTAATGTAAAACCCATCAGCAGGATCATGACACAAGTTAATGATATTGACTAAGTTACATGGCACTAATCAATCAAATTGGCTAATTCACGATGGCACAGGCTGATGATACTGACAAAGTCACTAGGGCATAAGCTAATGATACTGACAAAGTCACGATCTCACTAGCTAATGATACTAACTAAATCACGATGACACTGTCAATGACTATGACACAAACAAAGGTACAAGTAAATAATACTGTCTTAATCACGATGGCACTAATCGATGATACTGACATAGTCACGATTGTCCTAATCAATGATACTGGCTAAGTCACGCTCGCACTACTAAACCTGCCGTGTGTGTAACGTATATGTATATACGTAACGGCACTGTCCGTTTTAGGTAGTGTCGATAAATCTCCGATCTTGCTATATAGTAATTTATAAAAGCTCGTGTCAAGGTGTCTATATATTCGGATTTAAACCCATCACCAAGACATCTGGGTTAGCTAATTGAGGCCTTAAACAAGAGGTTATTACACACTGTTCACCATGAACAAGATATGGCCTTCACACTGCATGTTTCACAGCATCAGCTAAGTCATAGGTTCGGTCTTCCGATTTTACTCGAACATAGCTGATATCATTTATAACAAAAAGCATAAAAGATCTTACTCATCCGGCGTGGAACTGGATCTTCTACGATATAGGATAATAATAACAGCTGTCACAATACCTAGAACAGCTAGAATTGATAGAACTATACCAACTATCATTCCAACAGAAGCTTCATCTACACCCTCTACAAATAACATTGGATTAGTGAGATAGTATATAATGTGATCATGATGAAAATAATAGTTGCCAAATCAAGGCGACGGGTTCTCAACAGACCTGCGTTCACACCCGCGTTTGACAAATTTCTACATTATAGTACTGGATTTTCTGAAAGAAATAGAGGTATAATATATAATATATTGTCAGTTTCAAATGACAAAACATTTAAGATCTGTTTCAGACATACCTCCATGACAAGAAGCTGAAACTTCCGGCTCCCATGAAGCTTCGTCATCTGTTGTCTGTACACATCTGTAGTTAGTATCACCAGTAAGTTCCCCTGTATTGCAACTCATCACCGTGATTGCACTGCCCAGAGTATAGTTCAGATTACTTTTAAGACCACCCGGCACATCCAACAGTCCACATGACAAAACTGAAAATATACGATTACATTAAATCTCTTTACCTTTCTGATTTCATAATATGTTTGTTGCTGTACAGTGCGTCCGCTTTATTATATGGGTTCTATTTAGGAGAGTCAAGCCCTAATTCCAAAATTAGTCACAGTTACCTTTTTTCTGGGATTCCCTCGCGCTCTCAATAACTCCAACAGTCCGAAGAGTAGCTAGCCCAATTTGTATACTTCCGGTTAGCGAGTAGTCATGGATACACCTAGGATCTTCCAAGCATGTACGTTTTACTTGGAAAAAATTCAGTCCATCAGCCAATGGTGGATCATCAAATAAAGGAATAAAGTTCAGCTCAAAGCCCTCGGGATATTGGAAGAGACTTACATCCGTAGTTACAACCCCTGAAATTGAGCAGACACTATTCAATATGTAATAAAAGCAAAACGAACCAATCTAGTTTCAACCCATGCCAACACTGTATACCTAAACTGACCAATTTTTACATTGGTCCACAAATCCTGATCATTCTACCAATTAAACCACCACAAGAGAGTACCATTAACGGCTTATTCTGAAAGAGTTCTTGTTCGTTCCAAAAAAAGGTTTGGATATTTATCGACTATCAAAAACTCAATAAATACAGCGCTAATTCGGCAAATATTCAACTAAAATTTCATTGCACCAGTGATAATTACTAACATTGGAGTCCAAACACTGAATAGATATCTTCTCTCGTGCTGTCACTATCTACCATCGTACCATCAGGGGTTGTAAAATCATTGTCTACATCATCATCCCAACTTCCTAACAAACCATTACCTCTGCCCTGTAGGTACACAAAATTAAATTACCGTGGTTAGGAACTAAGAACAAGGGCCTGAATTCGAAACAAAGAACTAAAGATCAAAAATATACATGCGTTCACCATGAATGCTTCAAATCTTTCACTTAAAATAATGACACTAACAATCCATAGCATCACCTACTAATTTGAGAAATAAAATGACACATACTTTAAATGAATCAGGTACAATGACTGAGAGGTAAATGAGATTTCCAACTGCAGCTACTTGTACACCGACCCCTGACTGCAGTAAGATGGTAAAATTACCATGATTGTCTTGTCTTTTGTAAGATGGATTCCTGGTTACAGACACACCTATAAAGATAAACAATTGTTTGGAGACTACCACCAATAAATAGCTTATTCTCACAAAATTTCCTACATTGACTATTGTTATTCGTGACGTCAACATGTCCAGTATGTTCATGTATAACATTAACTTCAAGAACTGTACTGTAATTGACAGAGAATATGCTTTGTCACACCATATCCAGTTGTGACGCTAGTTTCAAACTCACCATTAAAATCTTGCCAGCTTGGAGTTACCATTTTATGACCTCCTCTCATGATACTTCCAAAATTTCTAACTTTTCCATCCACAACAATATTAAGTTGCTTGCCGGTATCCATAGAAGTTATTCGTGCTTCAATTCTACTATCACCTGGCGCCTGAACAACAACTGCTACTAGCCCGGTTGCATTAAGTGATGTCACTGAAAAGATGACATAGCCCACTGAAGTCTTCTATACACCCGATATATGTTTAAGGAAAAAGAGTTCAAGAGTGAAATTAACACATTACCCATGCTAAGGCTTAACTCTAAAATCAAATCAAAGATCCAAGTAGTCTACTGAATGCCATCTCCTATCGGAATTTTGGTTCTTTCTGAAGGCAGTGCTGTCCGACATACTGTTAAAAATAAGAGTAAGAAATTTGAATTGATGTAAGTAACATTTTTCACACCAACCTTTGTCAAATCTGGCTTGTATTGACAGCCCTTCATCTTTCATCAACCAATATTCACCCCGACCAGGCAAATTATACTCCTGTTCATCAAACGTTACAATATGGGGATCTCCATACACAAATGCTGTATAGATAATCGAAATAATAACAGAAACCAAGTAAGTAAAATCATACATGAGAGGATGTTATTTAAATCATTTCAAATCTAATCATCAAACCTGAGAATGTTCTTATTCAAATACTCCACAGGCTAATCAATTGGCCTCACCTGTTTTGGGGGGTGTGTAACCTCTACAGTCTCTTGTCGCCCTTTGTTCCATGTACAGATCACAATTAGCATAATTAACCCACAGGCAGCAATGGTAGAAGCTGATGACGTCATGTTTCCAGTGTGACAGAGAAGGGACATAATCAGGCTTATTAAATGGTGGAGCTCCCCAATCGTGACATCGATCTGGTGTCGCACCATTATAAGAATCTGCTGAATACATGAGATTACCATCATTACCATAGCAACACTGATTTCCCGCTCCAGATGCTCTGAAAAAAACAAACAGTTTGGAGACAGACGGACTTCCTGCTATATGAACACCATTCGGCATATCTGGCAACAGGTCCATGATAAGCAATACATGTAGGGTTCAAAACGAACTTTGCCTTCAATTCTAAAAATAGCGTCTAAATAATCGAGACTATAATTCGCACGTTTTCCGGTTTGTGGGAAAATACAGTTCTTTACGTTGGACCATTTCGTTTTTCGATGTTTTGCAATTAGGAATTCAGACTATGGAGAACAACAAATTTGGTAATGACTGTTTTATTGTATATTTTGTAACATTGTGTATGCATTTCATTGCTTTCGGATAGGTTTTTAGTTGTCAAATCTACCTTGCTTCGTGAGCCATAATAAGCCCTTTCGATTCGTTTTCATTCGCCTTCGTTCGTAACTTGCATTATTGGGAAGTATAGTTCTATATTATATATGAGTACATTATTGGGATGTATTTAGAGTACATTATTGGGATGTATGTAGATTGCATTATTGGGATGTATGTAGATTGCATTATTGGGATGTATTTAGAGTACATTATTGGGATGTATGTAGATTGCATTATTGGGATGTTTAGATTTAGGCCTACTTCGTTCGCATTATTGGGATGCTTAGATTTACTTCGTTCGCATTATTGGGATGCTTAGATTTACTTCGTTCGCATTATTGGGATGCTTAGATTTACTTCGTTTCGCACCGGTTTTGTACTTTTTGGCCTTTAGTTGCATAGATTAGTTGTGGTCTGGCTTGTTAGAATATTGTTATAAGAGGGTTGTCTCCCTTAAGTCAGATATTGTTCATATCACTTATTTCTGATATATTTTATATATTTCAGTTAATCGCTTCATTTGTATATTCGCTTCGTTCGTCTTCTGTACTCCTGATTACTTCGATGTATATATAGGCCTAAGCCTATTTGGTTTTTACTGTTTGTGTTTTTTGTAAGAAAAGAAATTTATGAACTCTTGTATTTATTAGAAGCGCATGAACAATAATAACTCCATTGAACTGTAGGCCAGTCGCACCAATTCCTATTGCAGGACTACAATACATGTATACCAAAGTAGGTATGAATGATCCGCACTAATGCAAGAGGTTTGGCCACGGACCAGATGTTAAGCAAGATCCTCATTAACCCATGATGTTATCCCCTTTTTTTTTTAAAAAAGATAGCTTGCCAGGCAAGGTAATATACGCCCACTGGCGGCTTTGATTATGAATAAAAATATTTAGCAGTACAGTAACAATCACCAGTATGAACTATTCAACCCTCAGTCATACACTTCTTTTTAATTCTTTAGAGCGATACTGAATAATATTGAGTATGAGACACAATTCTTGACAGATTTTGACGAAACTTGGTGTGAGTGTTTGTAATCACCCAAGGATGAACCCTATAGAAAATCACAAGAATCGAAAAATATTTAGTATGAGTTATTGCCCTTGTTCTTGAAAACTCTAGAAGGCAAATATTCAATCTTCAGCGCGGGATAATAAAACCAAGTTGTGTCAAAATCCAGCAAGAATCATGCCTGTTACTGTTTACAAGCTAAGAATTGAACGCGTTTTCAAGAACAAGGGCAATAACTCATACTAAATATTTTTCGATTCTTCTGATTTTCAATAGGGTTCATCCTTGGGTGATTACAAACACTCACACCAAGTTTCGTCAAAATCTGTCAAGAATTGTGTCTTAAAGAGTGTTTACGAGCTAAAATTTAACGCGTTTTCAAGAACAAGGGCAATAACTCATACTAAATATTTTTAGATTTTTCTGATTTTCAATAGGATTTATCCTTGGTTGATAACAAACACTCATGCCAAGTTTCGTCAAAATCCACCAAGAATTGTGCCTTCTAGAGGGCAATAACTCATATTAAATATATTTCGATTTTATCGATTTTCAATAGGGTTCATCCTTGGGTGATAATAAACGATTTCAGCAAGTGTCGTCAAAATCCGTAAAGAATTGTGTCTTGTAGAGTGTTTACGAGCAATTGTGGATGGACGGACCGACGGACATGGGTGACGGCAATACGCTTCACATTTCATGTGGGCGTATAAAAAAAATGGTTGTTTCTTTCTTACGTTGGATTAACTGATCTGACACAATGTACAGCACCAATATGGTAGTGGCAAGCGCTTCCAGTATACATATTGCATCCCATATCCGGTTGAAATCTGCCGAAATCCATCACAGCCTGATTCAGGTTACAAGGACAGCTTAAAAGTTCTTCGAGCCAATCCATATTCTTCTTGTCCTTTTCATACCATTCACGGCATTGGATTTCTGAATAACCTGCACCGTGTTGGTTCATCATGAAGTCTCGGACAAACCATCCCAATGGTATCGGTCCAAATGAGTAGGATCTAGAAAGTAGTGGAATATTTCTGAATTATATCGTACAAAAGATATGAGTCCTGTTTGGCAAAACTCAAATCGGAAAGTACATGGTAAAATATTTCTTTAAAAGGAGGTTCTAGGTCAGTTATAAAACTTAATCCTTAATTCGGATGGTTGTGTCATTTTCAAGAGTATGATATGTCTATTGGGAATTACAGGATATTCAATGAGCAGGCAGTAACAACCGGTTCATTGATATTGGAAAGGCCCTCATATCACAAACTCATTACTAAAGGGAAAAAGAGAAAATTACAATATAAAAGAATGGTTCAAGTGATCAGCAACTGTTCTAAAACAATGAAGTATGACGTCCATACGAAACTACAGTCATTTACTATGTCTCCTGTGATCAGATCGCTTTCAGCCTTGTGCATCACGTATACAAATCGCACATTGTCTCAACTGTTCAAACGTGCAAGGAGATAACACATACCCATGGGTGTTGGTCAATGTCCAGGAGTTGGGGGAAATTCCAACCTCTAGTAAACCAATTTCATATTTCCAGCAATCATCACCATCACACTGATGATCAGCTACGTTAAAGATCAATTGATGATCGCCATTTTCAACTGTGCCTTTTCCCAAATCATCTATAACTTTCCAGTTGATCTGTGATAAACAAAACCCAGTTCAATAATCATCAACCGAAAACTTTATAAAGCACTAGAAGAAACATTATTAAGTAGATTAGAGGGTATGGTATCCGAAGAACATAGACTATCAAAAATTTACAAAATGAGACAAAGTGTCCACAGAAATGTGATAATTTTCATCTACTTGAGACTTGGGGAGAGTCTGATGGTTACAAAATGCTAATTTGAAGGTTTTTCGCCCGCTCACCTAAATACTCTTGTTGGCTAACCATATGGACTTGTTATGAGTCACAGGACTTACCCCGTCATAACTTTCTCTGTATCCTAACAGGCTTATCTCTACTGGGACATTCCCGTCTCCTAGTGGGTGTACATCCCAGGAAAATGACAGCTTTTCTGGATTTGTTTCATTCCAAAGCATAGTCGGATCACCCATCGATATTCTTATATGATGTTCTGATCTTGCAAATAATCCTGAATCAACAATCATAAATACGTCTCGAGGTTTAATTCAATGGTTTAAAAGCTTATTATTTTTGGATTATTTGGTCTTATAAATGGACATATATACATATACTCCGGCATGTAAATTATTAACGTCGAAATAAGGAGATGGGAATGAATTGAAGCCGAAATTTCTATTTCCATTGCACAGGTTACCTTTTTTCTATTTTGACCGATGAAAACACAAGAGGAACTCACCAATATGAAATTGGCCAATCAAATCACCAGAATCAGCTGAGACTATAAGATCAACCATTCCATGTTCGGTCATCCGCGGAACCTGACATCTTAGTTTCGTGGAATTGACGAATGATACAGCAGACGTTTCTTCTGCTTCACCGAATTTACACATCACTGACTGGCCAGGTCGTATGCAGTATCCAGAAATATCAATTATCTCCCCTCCATACATATTTGCATACTGTGGATAGAACTCTAAACCTGAAAAATAATTAGTAATTATAGAGTGTAAAATTGCGTCAAACAAATTTTACAATAGCACAGTCACAGATATGTAGGCATAACCCCGATGAAAGTTAAAAGAGTGAAAGATTAGGGTTATCCATTTTGTCGCCACTCCGAAAGAAGTTTGATACAATTTTGTCCAAGGTTCTATGGTGTCACGGTTTTTATCAACTAACCTGATTTGGCTTGTAAAGGAAGACAACCCCCTCGTACTATGACATCATCTGATACTTTATATATAAACCTGCCTTCCATATCACTACCATAGAGTGATGGTAACATATTGAGATCCATTCTACCACATCGGTCACCACAGAACACATCCGTCCATCCATTACCCAGGCCACCATTCATTCCAGCCTATACAGATTGATGTAAGAAAGCATATCATTTATGATAATTTACCTCAGAAATCATGAAGAAGCACAAGCAACTTTCTAGAGTTAGACATACTTTCTCTTTCCATTTTATTATTATTTTTTCCGAGTATGGTTAATCCGACGTTTCAACCACAGGCATATATCAATAGTCGACTCTATGGTAGTATATACAGAAGAAGTTGGCTAACGCCTGCCACGACCATCTCTGCTTCAGAAACAGATCCCTGTAGTTGAAACCATCGGTGTAACCGGTGGCTTTCAAAAATCGACTAAAATCAAATCAATAGAGGTGCTCAAAATACAGGCAGTAGGGGCTTTTGGACGTTAGGTTTGAGACTCCTCAACATAGTCGCTAAAATGAGAAGTCAGAAATATACTATACATACATTCAAGGCAAGTTTAGGTCTCAAAGGCATTTATCATTTCTGGTAAACAAAATAAACATTTTACCTGGTAAAAATGATGATCTAGTAAATCCATTTTAAGATAATTGAAAATAGCAAATGTTTGGGATCGATCAGCAACAAGAACCAACTGGAATGTATCCGTCTGTAAATATAAAGCATTTTAGGAATAGAATGGCGAAAGTATCATTGGATAAAACGTCAGAGGAAGATATCATTTTGAGCACCCAAGACCTTGAGTTTAAGTATCTAATTATCTCAAATTATTTGGGACTGTTTGCGTACTCACATCTGTACAAGCTGGTACACCATCATCATCCATACAACCATCAATAGCAGATGGCGAATCTGTGACGTCTTTCCACGTAACAACCAGTGCTGTTTTTGCCTCGAACTGTCGTACACCAACCACATTGTTCATGATATATTGCTCTAACGAGTGTAAAAAATGTGCTCTTTCTTCGATACTCCCATCGTCATATATAACCCTATAGTAAATTTCTCCAGGTTTTGCTTTCTGTGCCGGTATCGTAGCTTCTCCACTATAATAGTACGGTGCTATGAAAGGATGGTTGTGCTCGCTTGGATTTTCCCGCCAAAACTGTTGAAGGTATGCAACTTTAGGATGAAATGCCACTAAACCATCTTTAGAAATCTGAAAACAAAATAGAAAAACTTAAAGGCCACATTTCTCTAGATTTTGGTGTATAGTTTTCACAAATTAGAGCAAAAAACAATTTCGACCTACAAGAAAGTGGAATGTCCATTTATATGGTAATAAATTCGTTGTTACTTGTGTGCGTAGTAAATGGCCACTGCCTAGATCTTAACTAGAAAGCTTCGCTTTATTTAATATAAACTGGATTTATTTCTTTTTTGGTTGACGTTCTTCCATTAATTATAATAACATTTACTCACGTAAAGAGTTGAATATGGTAGACCATAATAGTATATTGGCTGAGACAGGTTGAGTTGAGTGACTGAAGTCGAATCTTTGATAAGAGTATCTTCTTCATCTCTACCAAACGGTAAGAGAACAGATTCACTTTCTGAAATTCAAGTTAACGAAAAGTAAAGGTTCGTTCTGTGGAGCAGTTATTCCAATGTAACCTAATTATGGTGACTCATTAATTGCAGCACTTGTAGGTTATACTCTCGGTCCAAAAATGGATTATTAACGACGTTGTCGCAACCTATTTTCGTTGCCACTAGATCTAAACGTCTAAACTCCATCAAAGCTGCTGGTCGCAACAGTTGTACTGTCGCTGTTGTCTACACACTGCAGGTTTTCCCAACAAAATCAAAATCCCGCAAAATATCCTGTCTCAGATCTTTAGTAAAACATGTCTGTGTTATCTGGAAGTTCTTTATATTGCAAACAGACTAGATTGACCTTTAGCACTCTGGACGCCATTGAATCTTTACAATTGAATTTCCATAAGAGCCTTATTGATCGTTGATTATGGTTCCTTACCTTTAAAATAAAGTATGAAAATCCACGTGAAAATGAACAATGCATGAAATTTGAATGCGTCCATTTTGAACGGTCGGGCGGGATAGGGGAATGATTTGTTTATGACCTGTTCAATCTGACTAATGTTTCATTCGAGTCCTTTGCAGTTACAATCAGTGTGTTAAAAACAAAGTTGCATTTCGATATAGTAGTCTTTACAATCTTATAGCACTTGAACGTCAATGAAAGGTCCCTTATGTCCCTCTTCTATCTGTGAAAAGATAAGATAAAATACTACACACACATTTCAAAATTTAGTCAATAACTAGTAATACAGATAGTGATATCATAGCTGTTATCAAATATATTGTGAGTGGGTGGCTGTACTAACGACACGTAACTTACACTTGTTTGAGGAATCCATTATTTTACAATTATTGCTTCCGATTTGCTTCATCTGAGTATCATCAGCGACGAGATGAATGCACAAGCAAAGGTTGCAAGTCATTTGATAAATCAAGATTAGGCTATAAATTTCACAGCGAGAGATTCATTTCTGACTCATTTCACAAATCAAATGATGTCTTAAATTAGAACAAAATCAACAATCAATCCGAGAGTAGGCCTAGGTATTGTTTGTCTTTCCCAGGTCGGCCGCGACTAGGTAACGAAATCACAGATAGGAATTTCAACAAAGTTTCAACTACGAGTTTCAGTTCATTCACGAATATTATAGGCGAACACACGACCCTGTTACTTTGCCCGAATGGTTGTTAATATAAATTTTGTTTGTTTTCAAATAGTAAACTTAAACTGTTTTTAGGAGCAGGTATTTTTACTACACAGGTGTCCTTGTATTTTCAATTGATTTTTTAGTTATGAGCCCATCCTGACCTCAGAAAACTCTTAAATCGCCGAAAATCGGTGTTTGAGTTTCTACTGCCGTAGAGTTGGCATTGGTTTTCAGAATAAGCAAATTACAAATCTAAAGCGAGTTAGATAGAATTTGAAAGCCTTTGGGTTTTAACAACTGCTATATATAGCAACCGACCAATCAATCCGAGCTCACCATTGTATGGTAACAAAATGATATTAAAGCCTTAAATATTTGACTTACCTGTAACAATAACATATTTTCCATCTAAAGATATATCTGGTTTATCTATTCTTTTCCCAAGACACACATATCTACCAGAGTGGGTTATTTTGGAGTAGGCCACTGTCAGCTCTATGGTAGAATCGTTGTAGATTCTGCTCGGTGGGACAGCAACACCGGCCTTTGAGAACAGAACTGGTCGGTACAATTGCGATATACATATTAGAGTAAACGCTTCTCCCTCGTTTACTCTGATGTCACCCTCTGGTAAAATATCTGTAAAAAACAACCGAGGATATAAAATAATGTATTTAAAGTTTCAAAATTGCCTTTAAGACTACTATCCTATCTTAGTCGGCAAAGAGTTGCATTGTCAAATAATCAAGGCTTACATTTAAATAAAGTTAAATAATAGCCACGAGGCACCAGGTTTTATCCGATCTTGATTTATGCATGTATATATCGATGATATCTCAGTCAAATTCGATTTTCCTGAAGTGATGCCACGTCTTAGAATGAACTTAAAATTTCTCAAGAATGGTCAATATGAGTATATATTCATTGGCGAACTTACCTGGTGTCATAAAGTTACAATAGTAACTAAGTAACTAAGTAATTATTGAAAAACGCTTAATCATAATATGAACCGTTTTTAAATAGTTAATTGCATTTTTATTAAGTTTTTTAGACTTATCAGATTATATTAGGATCCTGTTATGTTATTTATGACACCAGGTATATCTACTGAGGAATATATGCCCTTATTGGCCAAGTTTAACAATTTTATGTTTATTCTCAGACGTAGTATCCCTTTAAATATTGCAAGAACGTTTTTGGAGTTACTGTCCTTGACTTCGTAAAAACGCTGCAAATTTGGCTTGTATCCACGATAGTGACTAGAGAATTTATCCGATCTTAATGAAATTTGATATGAATGTATATATGAGATCTAAGTCAAGTTCGAAATTGGTAACAATCACATGAATGGTTTCAGAGTTATTGCCCTTGACTAAGTAGAAACGCGTAAAATTCGACTAGTAGGAAAGATAGAGGCTACAGTTTTTATTCGATCTTGATTGATTTAAACATATTTTATTACAACAAATGTAAAGGATTTGGCAAAAGTTACAAAAACTTACAAAACTGCCATTTCCAACATATAACTGTCATATTTATAAAAAAAAAAATCTGGGAAGGTGTGCTCAGAGTGCCAGGTGCAGAGAGTGAAAAAAAAAATGCTGTTAGATCAAATTTGTATTTATGTTAATTGAAGCTAATCTCAGTGAACGATCTTTTGCTCGAAACATTGGCGAAAGCGCAAAAGGAAGTTCTGAGATTAGCGATGATTCGGTAGACCCTTACCAAAAACAATGTAATGTATAGACAAATCAGTTAGGTTGAGAACCTTTTGCTTGCTTTTATAAATTTAAATACATTGTTGATAAGTTTCGTATTTTGAATTGGAGATAGATTTTCGTCACCCCAGAGAAATATAAAGTGATGAACAGTTCTGGTCTTGCACCAGGTGTACTCGAAACAGATCAGCTTTCAAAGGACTACTTCCAGTTCGTAGTTGTGCTAAGAGGATGACACATTTACGATCACCGTTGCGTAAAAAAGATTTCTGTTTTAGGCACTTGATGGTGATAAGCGATTTGAAGTTACCTCTAGTGCTCGCAGTTCTTTTTTCAGGTTTAAAATTATTCCAGTCTTTAATAGTTGCAGGGACGAAGGAGTTTTCATAGGTAGCTGTTCTCAGGTGTGGTGGTTTAATGTCATAATTATTTTTTAAGTTGTAATGATTAGGTTGAGCTCTAAATGTGTCTAACAAGCCAGAGAGATATTGTGGACAGTATTCGTGATATATGTCATAGAACAAAGTGAGTCTGCGTCTCTTACGTCTTTCACTCAGTGGTTCCGGTACAGAGCGAATTTAAGCTTGTGAATATGGGTAGTCCTGTCCAACTGTAATTTTTTCTAACTTTTAGCAATTAATGTTTAGGCAACCGTGCCAAACTTGACATGCATATTCCAGAGTAGGAAGAATATGGGTTTTGTAGATTTTTTCAAGTATTGACCAACTTTCAGACCTCGTAAAAGGCCTATTTGTCTTGGGGCTGATAAAGCAATGGCATCAATATGGGGAGTCAATTTGAAATCATGAGATAGCGTAACACCGAGATGTCTGTGGGTGGACACTATGTCTAATTTAGTGTCGCCCATACGTAAGTTGGGTACAACATTCCTGTGTTGGGAAAATATCATTACTTTCGTTTTAGAAGGATTGAAATTTAAGAGCCATTTTTTGGACTAGTCGTATATTCGCCCTAGATCTAGGTTGAGAGATTTTTCAACCTCTTCGACGGTGGTGCCATGACAGCCAAGAGCAGTGTTATCGGCAAATAGCCTTGCAAGATTTGAAAGAGATTCTTGGGTGTCATTAACAGTCCTAACTTTTACTACCAAAAAGAGTATTCTGTACTGCCCATGGTCCAGTGACTATAATTAGTTGGTATGTCTACTGTAAACAATATGTCATCAGGTCTTTACATTGCAATAAATCTGCCCAATTAAAGTTTCAAAATAAAGTTCGGCCCTAATGTTTGACCAGTATCATATTACATACATACACATCCTTATGGCCTCTCTTATATTAACTTTTCTTATTGACCTTCATTCAATTTTTTTAGAACCATTCTATAAACTCCTTGGTTTCTTTTGTATCTTGTTTTGAAATAATTCAATAATAACTTAATGAGTATTTCAACTGGTTGCGCTCGGCACTTGCAAATTGGCGCATGAATAGACTTTGAAAGAAATGAGCAAACAGTGAAATAATTGAAAATGAAAAGAAAAAAATCAGCAACTTCGCCTATGGACCCCACTGAGGCCCCTTAAGTGGGCCACACGCTGCGACTGTCGCTTTACTCGGTATGCATGTATGTCCATAATGAGTTGCTGTTTCTGTCTAAATGTATTTTGCTGTAATGTAAAACACTTTAAAACCTCGGGGACCCATCGACCATCTATGGCGCTTCAGCAATTTCAGTCATGAAAAGCGACAATTTAGTTCATTTACTTACTTAGGCCTACCCTATTTTAGACTGCCAATTTTATGAACACAGATTTGGAGATTTAGATGCATTTCCTACAAGAACTTTTTTGACATTTTATGGCTGGAATTATTATTTAATATTATTTTGAGGAACACCTCTATTTATCTGAATAGATACGTTAGCCTCCAAACTTTTTATATGGTTTTGAAATGCTAAAACTTTGCAGCTTTTTAAAAATTGCAAAATTTTATCATATATAAAATTGTGTTTCTATAGTGGTTAGATTTGTTTGTTGATATTCCTGATTGATAGGATTCTGATTTCTGAAATTTCACGACTATCTTCCTTTCAAAGAACAGAGTTTTGCTAAGGAGAACAAAATTTCAAATTTAATCTAGTGAAGAAGGGCTCTGTACTAAATTTAGAACATGAAATCTAATACCAGGGTGCCAAGAACAGGTCAAGTTATGGTATCTTCTTAGTTAGGTATTGGGGACAAGGTGCAATGTAAATTTGTATCATATCTGTCAAAGAGTAATGAACCATCACATTCCAGTTTTGGCTGTAATGGCCGCCAAGTGGTAGTAAAAGTTAGGACTGTTAATATAAACAATGAAAAGAAATGGACCGAGAACAGATCCTTGAGGGACGCCGGATTTTAGGGTTATTGGAGAAGATGTTAAATTGTTTACCAACACGGACTGTGTTCTGTTTGTTGTGTAACTAGCTAACTATTTAAGAGTGTTTTCGTCCAAACCATATGATATAAGCTTGTGAATTAATCCTCTGTGGTAAACACGATCGAAGGCTTTAGAGATGTCAAAAAACACATAACATGATAGTAAATGGTTTTCGTAGGATTTAACAACATCGCGATATAGTTCTATAAGTTGGTGAAACTTGATATGCATGTATATATTGATAAGATCTCATTCAAGTTATAATTTGCAATATTCGAATGAGATATTGCTAATGTGTGTGCGCCGATGAGACATTGATGATGTTTTTGAGGTTTTGTCTAGACATTATTAAATGGACAGGTGAATTGAGTCTTGAAAATATGCAAATCTTCAGATGTACAAGAAATGAACAAAAATCGCATAATTCCTTTAAAAGTACTTCAAACTAGGAATTATACACACAATTTCTGTATATGTCTTTTCTATATAACACAGAGTATCTTATAATGAGTCATCATTATAACATTCAAACGCGGATAATTCTGGACACACATGGATTTGAAGGCCCAAATTTCGACTGTGACCCGTGAACACTATTACCGATTGGCTTAGCTAAAAAATTCCCATTTCTGAGACTAAAGTATGATTGGTCAAAAAGAATGATGCACCAGTCCCTTTAAGCCACTTAAAACTGTGTTATCATTTCTGACAGTTGGTAGCCTTGGACGCAGAATACAATAACTTGAATACGTACTTAGATTTCGTCAATTCCGTCGGTTTTAAATTAATTCTGTTCGCACTTTTGGCAACAATAAACTTCAGATGAAAATTACTTTATGCTGATATTCGGCTTTGTTTTTGATATCGAAACAACCAATTCATTTGCTATACTCACCACCCGCAGGTTGGTAAAAAAATGCATTAGTTAATATGGAAGGCGACAAAACCAGTAAATTAATCACAATCTGGAATAAGATTAAACAGAATTCGTAAGTCCAACTTTCTTGATGCAGTTTCATCGATTCTTTTTCGATAGAATAGTTATTCTTTTTGTTTAGTGTATCAAACTAGATAACTGTGCTAGTTGCTGGCGGAATGACAGTGCTATATAGTTGCCGTGGTCAGAATGTCGTGCAACAAATTTTACAAAACCCTGTCTGCATCACTAGCACATGAGCTTTACCTGCATCAAAACTGGCTCCCGTATTAGTTAGTGAGCAAGTACCAACCCCAGTTCACGTTAATGAGCAAAAAGCCTTACCCAAATGCGCAGCATAACTAATAATTCACCTTTCACAATTCATATGTTCTAATATAAACACACTGTCTTCAGAATATCCCGGAAACAATCGCATGCTGCATTTACAATTCAAGTTTGATTTTAAAGCCAATTAAACAGGTTTAAGAAATATTAATCGGAAATGGGATAAGGATAGGATATGTAAAAACACGTCAATAAGCCCCTTTTATGTTTTGAATGGTATAAAAATATGTCTCACATTTTATTTCAAGTTTATTGACGCGACTCATTATTCAACAAAGACTTGGCTTAATGAAGAATAGTAATTTGATCACATCGCCCCCTTCGTAATTGAATCATCTTATATAACAGGTCACCTGAGCTGCTTAAGATCGATCCATGGATCATATAGAAAAGTCGGCCCCGAGGTCATTATACACTTTTATAGCTTATTAAATGTTTAATAATTCACTGAACTTACCGATGTGTAAGGAAGTTAAAATGTTGTTAAAATTGTTACTATACACACATAAACAGCTTACGCATCCTGCTAGGCTGCACATTCTTAGAATTCAAAACTTCTAAAGCAGTGTTAATTTTTAAAAATGAAAGTCTATTATTCTACGGCCGAAATTATAAAAAAAAATTGACAGTGTATCTGACCCCATAGATGTCTATGATCTGACCTTACGTGTTTTATCCTACAAATAAAGTTTCCTGATATTTCAGAGAATTTCTGCCCTTGGACACTTATGGTGGACAATAGGAGATATATAATAATTAACGAGAGGACAATAAAAATCTTTAGTAACCTTTCTTTCTACATGTAGCCTATAATGGGTAGATTTTGACATTTCAAGATTCTGTTTGAGTCATGTTAATCAAGACTGAAGAAGATCACGTGACAATAACAAAGAAAAACGACCCCACGACGCAGCCTTGCTTGTGTAATTAACCGAGTATAATTCTTCAGTGGATATTTAAACCCTCGAATCCATATATCTTGAACAGATGCATTTTGTGCACATTGCGTAAATCGTCTCTGAGATCAAAATTTTTGTAATTTTGTACATTTTATACTCAAAATGCAATAGAACTTGAAGGGGAAATAACTCTTTACATCTTAAATAAGACCACAGTTATTGTGTTGTCTTTAAGATATCATTTAAAATGAAAAGAATAACAGAATGGTTTTGGATGTTAGTCTTCTATAGGATAACTCTGCTCTGTTTAACTGAAACTGGGGCAAGGCAAACAGCTTTGGATATAACAATGAGTATGGTAAAACCACAATTTATATTTGAATACAAAACAAAAGTCACATCATATAGAACTGTTTACTATCAGTACATACAGTACTTTTCTCACATAGAGACTGTAAGCGTGACTTGAATGTGATATACATAGTACAAATACACGTCTTTATTAAATTAATCACAAACTTGCCTAATGTTGATATGATATTGGGGCTGGAGCTTTTTAGTGAGACATAAAACTTCTTCAGTTTTTTACACCATAAGCTTATAGCACTATAGGACCTAAAACTTTGTAAACTGCGAAATACTAGATTTTTCTCAAACCTAACCGGACATTTGCAAACGACAATTATTATCACAAGCCAGGGTTGTACATAAGAGTTAGGCTAATACTTACTCCTGGGTAGCCCACTGAGACCCCATACTTTAGCTCCTTATCAATCGGACTGTAAATTGAAATCCAATGAATGGAGTTTAACGGCCTACATCATAGGCTAATAGTAGGCCTAAGTTGACTTCATTCATAATTTCAGACCCGTAGATACAATACATCTGTAGGCTGTGAATCGATAAATTTAGGATTGATGAATTGCCGATTTTACATCGAACAAACATCGTCTGAAATCCTCTCCAATGGCAAAACAACAATTTTACCTGAATTGACCCGATGTATAAATACTGATAGTAAAAGATGTTTAATCTGCCTACAAAGTCAATGGTTTGTTAATTCTTGCTCTAACTGTAAGTTTAGTTTGTTAGAACCAGTTTTTTTTTCCTATCTTTTATTGGGATTTTGTGGGGGTTGAAGACATCCCATCTTCTGACTACCAATTATTTGGATTGCAAGAGTAAAAAATAAATTATAATTATACTTCGACTACTGTCTATTTTGAGTTAGCTCATAATAATTTACTTTCTAGTGTATTCGTTACCGACACTAAAATGTCCAGAGCTACCAAAACGGATATTTCTGAATCCAGGATCATCGACGGCTAACATTGTGTGGAAAAAATCGACAGTTGATGGGGATTCAAGGTCAGATGGTTTTTTTTTATGGTGATTGATATAAGCTTTGTTTAATAATATTAATACATTTAGGCCTAGTTAACGTCAGTTAGCATTAAATTAAATTGATCCTGCAAATTCTTTCACTATCTATGTTGCCTAATTAGTATAGGCCTACTAAGATACACGTGGAACCTTTTGATTCATTTCAAGTGATGTGTCCATATCGTTGAAATGCATTTATTTTGTGTTGGTATTCTGATCTTGGATCTGTCTCCTCCTTACTTTGGTCTTTGAATATGGAAATATTTAATTTTTCAGATTAACAACCTACAACAATAGTATCAAGTCTGGTCAAAATGTTACTTCTGGTTTTTATTCCTTACTCTATTCAGCAGCAAATACTCAGGGCTTGACATCTGTTTGTACAACAGAATTTCTGGTTTCAGGTAAATCTATGCTGTTGTATTTTGGTTTGGTTAATCGAATACAGACCACAATTAATTGATTGAAAAGATATCGAAAGGAACTTCTGAACTGATCGAAATATGGTTTATTCTTTAACTTGTGCTTGCAGTAAATGGCCATACTGGTTGCATTCTCTTACGAATGAAACAAAATATGATGATTCGTAGCATCTTTATAATTTTACACTTTTGCTTTTTAAGAGGTCAAATGTGTGCTGCCTCCCATACCCGACGGTGGAACAAGATCATGTAACGGAAGCTTGCTTGGTTCAAGTTGTTACTATAGATGTTTCACCGGATTTTATATGGATCAACAATATGACGTCATCACCTGTAGTTTAAATGGAGAGTACGATAGACAAAGTCCAAAGTGCCTTAGTAAGACATCTTTCTTTTATAATATCTGGAAATGTAAAGCTGCATGAGAGCTACATGAATGACTATTATATGTTGTTATGGGTGTGTGGTAAATCTTGGTATGAATTATACATGAACTTGGTGATACTTTCACGGCTTTTAACAAAAAAGCTGCATTTGAATATTGCACCTTATTACATGTTTTCTCACCCATCTTCAATTTTTCATTATTCTAATTCCAGATCTCAGCCCTCCTAAAATCTCATGTTTCCCTCCAAGCAATCATATTATTCCCGTTGATCCTGTCAGTTTAACGGCTGTGGCAACTTGGGATTTTCCTGAAGCTGTTGACCAATCAGGGACCATTATTAAGCCAAATAGTATCCACCAAGTGAGCAGTAACTATTATAGTGGTGATGTCATTCCAAGAGGTTTACACTATTTTCAATATGACGTCATTGATGTAAACGGTGCATCCGATTCTTGTTCGTTTACAATCGACATGAGGTGTAAGTTGTCTCTTATTTCCTTTTACAGTTAAATGAAATTGGAATCAAATATTGTTGACATATGAGGGCATCTGCACGATAGGCGAGCTTGACAAGTAATTAGCATTAGCATCAGACATTCCCATACTAATAAAAGCATTATGGATGAGAAAGCGGCTACAGGATGGGTGTTTTTTGTGAAAAGTACGGGAAACGAACTCACTCCTCAATTCTCAGATGACCTATATATTTATTCCCTTGTCAAACGTCATTTCAGTTGTCCAATGTCGAGCTCTAAAGCCACCTGTCAATGGAAATATAACGTGTAATTCCACAGATTTCAGACAGAATACACATTGTGTGTATAGTTGTAGACCAGGATATATTTTACATGATTTCCCGTTACTAACTTGTCTTGATACAGAAATATATGACTACCCTGAACCTTCATGTCAAGGTAAGCATGTGAATGAATGGCTTGAGATAACGGATCCAATGGATTGTCATTTGTCAGGGTCATTTCCTGAGGCAACAGAAACAAAGAACTGGTAAAGAAGTTTACATTGTTCAAAAAACTATGATGATCATCAGTCCTCTCATCTAGGAACATACAGTGTTAGGTCCTCCTTAACTTTCGTGTTTCTATTTTTGTGTTTCAGTGCTGCAATGTCCTAAACCAAGCCAATTATCGAGTGATTCGTACGTTAGTTGTAGTAACAGTAATAACATCAATAGTACCTGTGTGGTTTTATGTAAACCTGGGTATAATCTCACTTCATCAACCAATACAGCATCATGCCTGCCTTCTGGTAACTGGAATACAAGTTTTCCATCTTGTACTGGTACGCATTATTTTCTCAATCTTAATTAGAATTAGGCAATATAGAGTGTTAGCCCAAAGTCGAACTAATTCATTGAATCCGGTGTTGTTTGAGGGCTCGGCGACGCAAGAATTAACTGTATCTTTTAAAATACTTTCCGCTGTTGATCAGAGCATGATGCACAGATATTTTCTCACTAATCGGATAATTTATTGAATTTTAACTATCTTGTTTTCAATAATTCCTTTTGACAAACCATAGGGAATGTTTCGAAAAGATTTAATAGTCAACCTTTATCTCCATCTTCATCTTCCATTTCAGATTCAGAGCCACCAGTGTTTCTCAGTTGTCCACAGAAAAACATATTCAATCACTATAACAGCCGATTTGAAAATTCCATTCCTGCTATTTGGTCTGTTATCATTGCAACTGATAATTCTGGTGAGGAGATAACACCGGGATTAACAGAAGGAAAGGATTCAGGAGAACTGTTCTACCCTGGTGTCACTAAAATCCAATATCGAGCTGTTGACAGTAAAGGCAATGAGGCTTTCTGTCAGTTTTATATCATAATGTCGGTCTTGGGTAAGATGAGCAACTTTTAGTTACTGAAAGACTTTCCGTCAAGCTCTGAAATGCAGCAACGTCTTAATTAGAAAGCTTTAGCAATTGATGTTCAAATCAAACTCCGAAGAGAACAACATGTTATCATAGGCAAACTACAAAGCAATTGGAGATCATCAGGCATATATAGTCAAGGAGCGTCGTGGTTAAACGATGATATTTTGTTTCAGCTTCTGGGTGTTCAGCTGGCACTAGATTCAATGAGAACGCTGATACCTGTGTGAAATGTGCTGTTGGGTTCTATCAAGATGCGGAGAATGCACTGGAATGTAAACCGTGTCCTGGAGGATTCACCACGAATTCTTTGGGGTGTTCAAAGATTCAGGACTGCAAATATAATGGTAGGTGATCATCACAGACTAGAAGCAGTCGCAATGTAGAACATATTCAAAACAGACTTACTGGGTATAAAATGTGGTTCTAGATAGCAAATTCCGGTCGATTAGATGAATGCTTCGGAAGATTTTATGACTTAGAGCCAGGAAAGTAGTTCACTCGATTATACTGATCTTTTGACAGTTTGTGAATCTTGGAATCAAACGGTTGGAAACTAGAGTGTTTGTCATTTCAGATAGATTGGGTAGTCTGGTACTACCCAGGCAATATATATTGTATGAATAATAAATAATGACATGATATCAAAGAAAGAGGGTGATTTGTTTTTCAGAAAGATTGTTGTCCAGGGAAAAACGAGCATCAACATCATGTGTAGAACCCGTATTTAATGATCCTTCCATTCTCTTAAAGTGTACCGGATATGATATGAATGATGTTTGTCAGCTATCGTGTCTATCAGGACGTCAACCAGTAGGTTCCAACAGGATAGTTTGTGTTTTTGACCTGAAGATTGGACGATTTGTCTGGTTATCAGGGTCAGGAGAACAACCTAGATGTAGACCACGGGGTAAGGGCGTTTGACTATGTGTTCTTCATTTCTTCTGAGACACGTTACCCGCATCAGCACCACAGCTTATCCTCAAAAACATTGTGTTACATTTTGTATGGATGACACAACCAATGTCAGGTGAAAATTACAAGCTTTTTGGTATACCTGTTCTGATCTGTTCCGTAAACCATTATAAAAGCCGAGAAAGCCGTCCCACTCTAGAATACCAGATTCCATTAAACAATATCTTACATCTTACAATATCTACCCAGTTGCTGAATCAATGAATGAATGAATTCGATGCTTTGTCTGTTGCAGGAGATCTGATTGGGATGCTGTGTACCATCTGTAAACAATTTACACCTGGTGCCAATTGTTGCCCTGTGTACGATTTGAAGCACACGGATTGGATGCCAATGGACTTTTCAGGTACGGAAATAATGTGTGAAACGCTCAAAAAAAATTTGGTATACCGTGTTTGTGATTTACACGACAGATTTGTTTGTTAAACTTGGTTGGTTGGTTGGTAGATGACAAGTTAACGTTCGCTTCCAGCGAATGCTGATATCGCAAACTAGGTAGTTGTTGGGTTTGTTAAACTGTCAAGGTACCCTATAAATACGTATATGAGCAAGGTAAAAATCTTCTGCATCTTTATTTTGCGCCTCTTCTCGAATCTTAACTACATTTAAATGCTCCAGGACAAAGATAAATATTTTGAATCAAACATGATAGTAGTTCTAGAGATGAAGTGATGAAAATTTGTTAGTGTTGGTGTTTTTTTCTATTTTCTAGAAATAAAACCACAACCACCATGTGAAGACTTTGTTCCATCCTCTACGGGTAAAAGTCCTGTTTCAATCATTTCTGGTGTAAAATCGTTTACTTTGACCTGCCCTGTTGATATGTCCTTACCGCGAAATACCATAACTGCTAAATGTGACTTAAAGACTGGAGTGTGGGATCCTGCACCATGGTTACAAGAATGTACAAGTAAGTCCATACGTTAACATGACCCGATACTGGCATACTGATCAGGAAACGCCAATGTTGAGACTTTACGCACGTGAAACAATCAGGCGATGTGTTTTTTTTCTTCTTTTTTTTAAAAAAAACAATAACAAACGATCCAAACCGTATAACAAAATCCAAAGCAAGAGTTTTGGAAACAGCTAACTAATCCAGTTTAATTGAGCTAGCTGTGGTTTGAAGCTGTGGTATCGTCTCCATGCCCTTTTTAAACTTTGTGATATTACTTACAGATAAATATTCACCTATAAAGTATCGACTTGAGGTGACCGCGAGTTATTCAGGAAGAAGTTGCTCTTTACCTAGTGTTCGAGAACAACTCAGATCGAAATTTACCAGTCTTTTGCATTCAGCCAAAGTGTGGAAATATCACTGTCCGAGTTCAAGACAGTGTTCTGCTGATGATGTCATGCTGCTGTGCTCTTATTATCGTCGAAAAAGAAGGGTGAGGTCGATTTGAAATAACAATTTCTGAGTAAAATACTCTAAAAGATGGCCAAAAATAATCACCTAGATGGCACCATTACAGTTTCAAGCTATGTTTCCGTAATAAACGTGCATCATAAAGGCCGACCGCTTGATTTACATTTTTAAATGTCATACGGACAGCGGAGGTTTATACAATAGTAAAATAAGTAGATAACGATGTTTAACTGTATTCTTTTCAGGATATAAGAAAACGAGCTAGCACCATGTATAAAACAGATATAAAATGGCACTTCTCTATTAGAATGCAAGAAGACGAAATGAAAGGAGAAAAAGTTCGACTGTTAAAAAATGTTCTATTTAACATGTTTTTTGGTTTTGCTGAAGACACCTATAGTGGAAAGTTTAACCAGATAGTTGGCTTTTATTTTGATTATGCCTCTCTTAATATGGGAGAGTTTACGTATGTCTGTGATACAGGTGGTATTTATGACATCACCACCAAAGCCTGCTGTAAGTCTACCTTTAATCATGAACAACTCTCAATGATACTCTCTAGATAAATCGTTTCCTTTAATCCTTGAATTTTACACCTTTTCACATATAAAAACATTACTAACTTACATATTGCCAGCACAGTTTTAGCCATCATATCAAACCTGTTGGAAAAACAGCTGAAATTGTGCTTTAGATGTGCGTTACCGATATTAAATCCTCATCATGACAGCTGCTTTGAACTTCAAAGTTTGAAGAAGTAAATTTTTGGGCAAATTTGGTCCTTTTTGTTCCGTACAAATACTAATAATTTCACAATGTTTTCAGTGGTATGTTCATCTGGTAGCATGTATGATGTTAATACAGATAGATGTATTGAATGTACACAAGGTTATTACCAAGACAGGGATAATTCTAGGACTTGTTTCCAGTGTCCACCACGTACCACAACACAGTATACGGGATCCAAATATCACACACAATGTCAAAGTAAGGTTGTCTTTTACAACCTTAAGATTGTCTATCACATCTAATGTACACCGTTGCTAAAGGAACATGGGTTGTCTGATCGTAATGAGCATAATAGATTTACATCTAAATAGACTTTGATTCCGAGCTGTACATCAGCTGATACGATGACAAGCCTCTTGGTTATAATATACTCGTGTAACCCTTATAAGTCAAATGAAAAGATGATGCTCGTTAGAGTCCACAACTTATGATATCTTTCCACATTTAACTTAGTGATTATAATTTCAACTATTCCGATGGATGTTGGTGTTGTTTTACGTCCTTTTAGGATGTAAGTAATTTAAAATATTGGGTGACAATAAATTTTTCTTTTTGCTTTATTTCCAGTTCAATGTTCAGCTGGTTATTTTTCTGCCAATGGATTTCTACCATGTCTACCATGTCCAAGTCGAGGTACCAGTTCCAGGGGCAGTACTAAATGTCAGCATAAGCGACCACTACCTCGAATACAAGGTAAAGTTACCTCAATGCTGCGCATCCAAATCACTAATATATGGTAGTTCACATAGAAAAATGATTGTCAGTAAAAAAAAGTTTCATTTTTTAAGCAACAAAACGCGGAACCGTTCGGTAAAAGACGATAATTGCCGAAGCCGTCGGTAAAACGGATTGGTTAACGGATAGTGTGAAAACCTGCATCGAGATATTTCAAGTCATTGGGAAATGTTGCACCTAAATTGTCAACTTGTTGCTTAGTACAAATGAAACATTTTTACCGACAATCACTTTGAATCTAGACGCACAGTTTAGCGATAACATCATAAAGGACACAAGGTTCTCATGCTTTCGGTTAACCAATCGGTTTTACCGACGGCTTCAGCCATTACTGTCTTTTACCGACCGATTCTGCGACAAGCTTAGTAACACCCCCTACACACACACACCTGGTATTTGTATCTGTAGTATCTGGTGTTCAAAATTGATGTGTAACTATTAAAATGTCAACCACGTGCCCAGTGACGTCGACTTCAATATTAAGATGTCAACTAACAACCTGTAATATGTATCGAGATATATGATCTTTTTTCAGATTTTTGTGCCAATTCTTCCTGTGTGGCGAACAACCATACCTGCCAAAGTGTATTCGATGGGTATAGATGTTTTTGTAAGCATGGTTATCTTGGTGAAGAATGCAACATTACTATTAACCCTTGTACATATCTTCAATGTGAGAATGGTGGTGCCTGTGAAGCTAGTCCAGGAGGGAAAGCTGTATGTAAATGTCACGATGGTTATACTGGTGCTTTGTGTCAAACCAAAATAGGTATTGTACTTTTCTTCAACTTTTAAGATTGTATTTTGCTATAACCCACAGCATTCCAGACATACAAATCTATAATTATTATTTATTTAACCAGCTACTTTTGTTACAAAACATATGGTCAGGTAAAGAAGACACAAATGAGCATATTATCATTGACATTCTAGTTTCTACAGAACTAAGTTTTAGCATTTCAATATCACTTATGGCTGTGTATACATGTACTCGCACAAAAGAGGATTGAAGTTTGTGATGTATTAGTTATTTCAGTATTTTGACCTGTTTAATTGTTAGAGTGGATTTTTATAGTTAACAATGATGATCTAACCAGTACATGGACTGAATGGGTGTCGTGGGGTGATTGCAGAACTGACTCGCCAGGTTGTGGTCAGGGAACGCAAACCAGAGCTCGAATTTGTATCAAAGATGTAAAAGGTACCTATTGTCATGGCGCAGACACGGATTCAAGAGAATGTAACAAGATCGGCTGTCCTGGTAAGGAAACAGACTCAACGTGAGCTTTGTATACTCTTCATCTCGTTCCTGTTTTACGCTGCTCTTGTATTATAATTTCATTGTGCTCCACCACAGATACCGAAAATTGTATATTATTACGATCCCGGGTAGTCTATACAAACAAGAAGCATTAAAAACATTTCGCAGAGTTTTTTTATGTACTTTTTGTCTTTCAATTCCAGTATGTAAAAAAGAAAATTTAAAACTACCTCATTCCATACAGCTCGACTGCAGCTGGTCTAATAGTTCTATATCAGACGTGTCGGTATTTGTTTGTTATGTTAGCTGCAAAAAGGGATACACACCTCTCTACAATGTCAGCCATGTGACATGCAAGAATGGCATCTGGACTTCAGGGTTGGCAAAGAATATCTGTATCGGTAGGTATCTCTAAAATAAGGCGCAACAGTATCAGAAAGTCCTACACCGATTTCATTGAAGTACAGTAATCGGAGTAAACTTGACCGTTGATCAACCGGTCATCTTTACATGCACAAAGGTTATAATCCACTTCAACAATATAAGAATGATCCATAAAAACAATCAAATCTATAAGAGATTCATTTTATAGTAAATCTTTGAATTTTAGCTCTCGGTGTATAAATTGTTTCAGTTGAACCAGAATGGTCAGATTGGTCTGCATGGTCCAGTTGTACTTCAATGTGTGATGGTGAGAGGCAAAGAACCAGAAAATGTAGTAGCCCGCCTTTTTATTTAGGACCGCCATTGTGTAAGGGCGGTAATTTACAGTCGTACCCTTGTAGCCGGGATTATCCAGACAGAAAATGTTTAAGTATGTAAATTGACTACACTTTATGCTTTCCATGGTTACTTACATTGCAGACCCATTCAACTCCGCAATTTCTATAATATGGTTACTATCTAGCGTTAATTTTTTTTTTACTTCTATGTCTATCATGTAACTAATAAAAGGTAGGCCTATATCTCATGTTTAGAATGTTCAGTAACTGATTTGCTGATACCGAGTCCCATGAATGTTTCCTGTAGTGAAATTGAAGGGATACTTACCTGTATTATGGGATGTCAATCAAACCAGGTGTTATATAATAAACTAACATTAAACCCCGCCTACACCTGTAATCAAGGAATCTGGTCACCAAGTACTAACGTTTTACCTTGTACAGGTTAGTGAAACACGTAATTGAACTTTTCATTCCACATTGCTTTTTTTCCCTCTTTCAAAGCCAATTAACCTTGCAGTAAACGAGTTGTTAAGTAGAGCCAAACGGTACTGAAGAAAGAAGAGCACACGATTATAGTTTGATGCATCGTAATAAATCTGTAAATTTTCCTCATGGACAGGTCCATTTTTCACAGTAAAAAGGATCAGATGAAGATTTACCTATATCACTTTCAGATCAGAATGATAATCGGAACTGATTCATTATATTTTCAGATTTTCATCAGCCGTTGGCTTTAAGTAAAATGATAACTGCATCCTACCGAACGAACTGTACCGATACGTCAAAATCTTCTAACTTAACAGCTGCTATCTCTCGGAATTTCGATAGCATCTTCAACCAAGTGTTGGTCCAATCGCCTCAATGTACCTCAGATGGTCTGGTTGTCACGGTCAGAATAAAGACAAACATTGGTAAGATTTCATCCACAGCCACCATAGCTAATTCCAATCCGAAACTTGGTGGCTCTAATCTGGTCTTTAATCTGGTCTCTGATGATTACTCAGAGTAGAGGCCATCCACATGAGAGAAGATCAACAACTACTTGCATTAAAGCTAAGTACCGGTCAGCACGTTTGATTATAATCAAATTATCCTCTTAGATATTTATTTCATAATTTTTATCATTATGATTTTATTAAAACAATGTAAACGTCAGTAGTCCAAGTCTTTCAACCACGATTCCTTACTTCGCTTCAACCTCCCAGATCACAATCCAGAAAACTCCACTTACTTCTTTCAGATAAATCGGTTACTTTCACCAAAGCTTCTGAGAGGTTACCAGTTTTCTCCAAGTACCATCGTGTTTTCTCTATTAACTCCTCTGAAGAACTAATACTTCCTGTTAATGTAGCTGAGATCAGTCAGCTGCACTGTCCAGATAACACAGTAGCTCAGGGTGCTTATTGTGGTAAGTTCATTCCCAAAATCAGTCCGATAAATAATACAGAAATATGCTTCTAAAAGTGGTCACCAGTACATTGTAATTGCTTAATAACTTACCACTCTGAGCTTAGAAGTCTATGGCACGTGAAGGTCTAACCAATCAACTTAAAACTTGATGGATGATTTGTCCCTCTTCGGCAATTTTGAAAAGGAACTTTAGTTCTGTGTTCATGTTTTATTCTTTAGTTGAGTGTCCAGCAGGAAGTTACTACCATCTCGACGAGTGTCTCCTATGTCCACTGGGTTCCTACCAACCTATTTCTGGACAGTGTTCATGTATCAGATGTCCGTTTAGAACAACTACTCACTACCTCGGATCTAGATCGTTACTTGAATGTAGATAGACATATTGATAAATTAATCTGTTGTTAGAGGAATATTAAAGAGTCTGAAAGTCCTGTAAACGTTTCTATGGCGTCACCAAATCTGAACCAACTATGTAGGTGGTATAATATATATTTAACGTAACAAATTGAACAGGTTAAGAACTTTTATATTTTTTTGGTCTAATTGGATGGATTTTTACTGTGTTGGTTGAAGTTGTTATCTGATTTTTGCCTCTTCGTCAAACATTGTTTATGGCATTCCGGCCTCGAATTAATTTAATTGTTGATAGTTTTGTTGTTTCGTTATTTGTTTGCATTAATAGAATTAATGTAAATTAGGTAGTGTGTTTAAAACCTTACCTTATAGAATATATTTACTTGTGGTCTGAAACTTAAAATATTTATAAGAGTAATATCCCGATAGCGTGTATAAAAATGTATTATTAAGCCATATACTGATTTCATTTTAGTTATTTCAATAAAATGTTTATGTTATTTACGACTTTGATAGAATACAATCAATTTAGTGTTTTATGATGAATATTTACATATTCTGTAAAGTTTTTGACAAGTCTGTGACACTGTAGTCAGTCCTAACGGGGAACATGAAGATGCGCAGTTTTAATTATTTGCAAAATACCAAACTCACAGTTAAGTCACTAAAAAACATTGCGTTAGTTTCAAAGAATTTTTGTTCAGTAACGGACTGTGAAGGATGTACTCCTTAGTTATTTTATTTGAAATGATAATCAATGATTAATTGAAAGGCTGGGGAAATATTCACGCGCTATCAATCTGCATACCAGGTAATAAGGCCACGTGACTACAATACGCCAATCAGATTGAAGGTGATATCTGCCTGGCTCTAGCTGAATTTAGTCGATATCAAAACCCCGACAAACTCTAGAAAAATTATTTTATTTCTCAGATCTGGATATATTACACCGTGGTAAGGTAGGACAAAATTTTATTTTCCACATTTTTTCCCAATTGTATTAAAATGGAAATATGAGAATCTAAAAAATTACAATAGCAATGTTTTATGCTTTTTAGGTGTAAGCCTAGTTAAGACTAATTATTCAAAATATATTTTTGCAGAAATTCATAATCTAGATATACACATTAAATTTTAGCACAAAAAATAAGAATGATTTAGAGAATTCCAATAAAAATTTGATTTTCGAAAATATGACTGATTCCCGAATTCCAATGTTCATCAGAATTTAAAATGGCGGATCGTGATCCATTTTCTTATAATAAAACTAATAATAGGCTACACTCCAACATAAATCATTCAACAAATTGTGCCATATATTAATTAGTAAATCAGGAAACTGATTTTCACAATTATTTGTAAAAAAACTGATTTCAAATAAATCGAATACTGCTCTGATTTCACTATCTATAATGAATTAAAAAAAATTCATTTCAAACGATTGCCAAATCTTTGACAATAACCGAAAAACGTGAAATAAAATATGCACACAAAAATATTTTGATAAGATAACGAAACTGCTGAAGGGGTGTTAAGTACATCTGAAATCTGAAGATTATATCTCAATATTTTACTCCAGGCAATTTCTGTGCGATAAGATTTGGAATTTGATTTTTTTTTTCCTTTTCTTGACTTTTTGTGATTTCTTGTTCATTGCATGGTTAGACCCTAAGTTGGACACCTAATCCGCTTTCGAGAACAGTGGTCGTGGTATAAAAATTGTTGGGGGAAAGTTCTAGACGTAATCCAACCATTTACTGCCATACACATCGGTGCCATTGATTAGTGCCTTAAACAAGTATCACTTTGCATTAAGAGTTCATAACGGTGTGACGTTATATTTAGATTTCCATAAAACAAAATTAGAAATATGAGAGGCAGTAATGGTATCAATATTACATAAAATGACCATCAGAAACAGCTGTATGAGTGTTGATATATATGGTCCTTACAATGATATTATAAATTGATCTGAAAATATTAAGACTATGATAATATCAATATTAATATTTGTAGAACTTCTGTCAACTCGTCCACCAGATATCGATTTCTCTAAACTAACATATTTCTATTACTAATTTTCATCTGGTAACATATTTTTACCATTTACGCTGGGTTAATAATGACACAGTTCATACATTAGTAGTAATTTTTATTCTTGAAATCGAACAAGTCTGTCGAATCGAATTGCAATTGAATCATTGGTTTTACCTATTACCTGCTGATATAGCCCAAATATGATATGGCTATTCTCGGAGTCTATACAAGTGAACAATTACTTCAAAGTATGTCATTATTATTAATATATAAACCTTACATAGAAATTCATTTGGTACATTTCTATTAGACTTTGGGATGAACCGGAAGTCAGGTATTTATTTGGAAAGTCCATTTGAGTACTGTTGTTGGTTAAAGCAATTATTTCGTTGACAGTATCTCTTTAAGCAAAATGTATTCAACGATAAGTTTTTAACATGAAAGATTGTTTTATATAATCAAAATATATTCTGTTCATTGTGAAATTTTCTTTTTTGGGGAGTCACATTGCTTAATGTATGAATAAATTGTGCATCTATATGAAATCTAACCACGATTTGTATTATATTCATGAAGATACATGCACATACACTTCACATAGTAGAAGACACATGAAACCCAAGCATGCACGATTGTCTAAACCATGTAACAGACCGTGTGGAACTGACACTTAATTTAAAATCCATTTTGTCGACACGCTATAGAAGTGGGAATAATGACTATCAGATCTCATTACAGATAAAATAATCTTTTCCTTTTGACAAGATCTAGTTAGGACTTGAAATCGATTTAAGATTCGGAAGAATTTGGCTTGAATATCGACTTAGTGTCACAGATATTGAATAAATTAGAGTACATCTGGTCTGCTACATTGCATATTATCAATATTGTAAATCAGAGGTGCATTAGTTAAATGCAGTGAATGCGGTGGTATTTTCTGAAATTGAAAATATTGTATAAATATAGAATACGGTCTTTTTCAGAATTATAAAACTCAATTTTCCAGTTCTATCAGAGAGTGACGCAAATATTTTGACAATTATATCCCTTTTAATAGGAAAAGTTCACCCCTTGGTGTACATGGGTTCAATTAAGACAATCTTGTTTATTAATTTGACCTAAATTGCTGTATGATATGTTATTGATCCAGGTCCAGGTTGATTAATTTGATATTTCATATTTCATCAATAATTAATTAAGACACGTGACACATTGATGAAAATAAACATTGATTCCTATTATTACTCACCACTTTATTAGAAATACAACAGTCGGCGACCATGGAAAATAATTCTTGTGTGAAATGACGAAAAGCATATAATTTCAGCATCTATGATTGTACGTTTTAGGGTCCTCATCACAACAAATAAAATGATATTAAAAATTATTCAAAAGAACAAAATCCTACGTAAAGAATAGTGATCAAACCTCAACTTGAAGATATTTGCATATCGTCGACCGAGAATTAACTAGTTCCATCTAACATTTCCTCTGTTCTGAGGAAATTGAGGTTCAAGTTTCAGAACTTCATAATTCTATTAAAAATAAAGATTATCATTTGAGACTTTTTATGGTATTAATATGATTCAATACTGATTCCCATACCAAAAGTGCAGAATGTCACTGGAATATGAACAATTCATGAAGAGATTTTGCAGATACACCTTTGTGACTTTCAAATATGAATAATTTCAAAGCCATATTGGTGTATCTGCATGTTTAGATGGATATATTTGCATAATTGTTTAGGAAATGGGTAAAAGGCTTGGAATTTATCTGCCCAAATTTATTCAAGAAATAGAATCAGACATATAGGGGTTGTTATATAAGAGAAAGAACTCATTCTGACCAATAATTGACCGTTTAAGATCACGAGAAAACAACACAGATAGTCAAACACATCAATTATTTTATTTTAAGAACTCTATCATAAATTAAAACATTTTGCATTTACCTTTGCAACTTTGTAACTATTCTGACATTCGGAAAATATAAAACATAACAGACTAAATAATATTAACAATAACTTTTCAACAATCTGAACTAAATACTGCAATAAGGCCTAACATTGTAAAGATATGTAGGCTCTATCAGAGGGGGGCATGAATTTTAACATCGCTTTAATGTCTTGAATTTGGACTTGTGTGAGGGGCTTGGATTTTGCAGATTTTGGTTCACCAAGGTGTATGGAAGTTATCCCACTACGAGACCATTGTTGCTCAAAAACGTTCTCAGTAATCCACTTTTGGATCGTAGTCTTTATCTTGGTCACTATCATCCCCATAACAACTAGATTCATCAGATGAATTCATGAAAAGTATTTTTAACATCTCTTAGGTATAGTGGGCAAGTTATAAATTGAAAATTATGTGATTGCGACTACATTGTATATTAATACATTTTACAGCTATCAAGACCATTTTAAGAGCTTAAATTTGCGTATTGGGGGCACTGAAAGCATCAATTTGCACCAATTTTCAATCAGACGTCTGTTGTTCCTGCAATTCCACTTAAACTTGGTGTTTTATGGCGTAACTAATTTGGAAAGGCCTTTTGTGATTCAAGTATATTCATCAAACGCCTAGTTCTTTAGTTGAATGTGAACCACAGACTAAATTGCAGCACATGATTTCGTTAGGACTTAGACAATGACATTGTATATATATAGGCCTATTACCACTAAGATTTGTTGGAAGCTGATATAAATATTGTCATTATACGTTGTGAATATCAATGGTTTATTTAATGTATATCATACTAATGGTAGGTATCAGGTGGTATTTCTAGATATTTAATGATAATAACATACGATACCTTTGTCTTCGAGCAAGCAGATGCTGATTGGCATATTGGATGTTTTCTGTATAGTTATGACATTTGTCTGAAATGTTTTTATTGTGCATCTGAACCATAGCCTATTTTCTTTTAATACTTTATTACAGTTTAGACTTTAAGGGAGCACAATGTCGACTATTAAAGCCTGAAACTTAGGTCTGAAACCAATAAATTTCTTCAGAGCTAAATCAGCATACCATTGGGATAAATGTAGGAACATGTGTTTCTCAAATTATTCTGAAAGCACCGATCGGAATTGCAATAGGCTGTAATGGCATGGTACATAGAAATCCATTGTGGATTCGTGATCTAATTTAATTTCAGTCTCAATTATTATTCTAAACATTTCACTGTCTCAACAGTTCTAAATACTAACAAATTATTTACATAGTTTTTGTCGCCATGATGACCATTGTCCGTTTGGTGTAATGTGAAAAAAAATGAAACTTGGAGATCATCTTCACATCGCCAAGGCGTATTCTACACCCAACTTTACCATCTTTTCTATATGTCATAATGTAATTAAGTGATCCAGCCAAATATCATATAAGTTCACCAGCTAGGGTTCCAGTCTTTGATTCAGTGATGAAAAGTCAAATCTCAATTATGTTTACATAAGAACCAATG